GCCTCGAGTCTGTTGCAAAAAATACTTCGAAGCGACTCTTGGGGTGGGATGTTCACAGTTACGTTGGGGCTGGATGCGATTTGCAGCAGCATCGTAAGATAGACCCTACCAAATGGGAGCCATAAAATTCTCCGACTGTGAGGGGGCCCCGTTGACCCCTAACCTGCTTTGGAGCCCATCAACCCTAGGGTTCAAGCCCCACTACAAGAAAGGATCACCCAGTTTGGATGACAATCCTTAGATAAGCAATGGTGGTTATATGGCTGTGGGTCAAAAATGGGTACCCGTTTTGGGAACCCTGGTAAATGGGAAAATGGACCAAAAGCTGCGGTCCCCTGGTGGTTTAATTTTGACCCATACCCATATGAACCCCCATGGCTTTAATGATGGATTGAACCCCAGGTCAAAAGATAAAGATAATGTTCTTCTCCTGATCCTTCCCGGCGGAGTTGGAGTCTCCCAAAGCGCATGTTTTGGCTGCGCTGCACGTCTGCCAACCCTACTGCTCAGGCCCCACTCAGCCTGACGACCGTTTCCTTCCCAAAGGGCCAAAAGCAGTTGAGTCAAAACTTGGTACTCCCAGGTGACTCAAGTCCTGATAACAAGTCGGCTAAAGTGTGGTGAGTTTGCTTGGCCACCCATTGCTTAAGTCCCGTGGAGAAAACAACATATTTCCAACAGTGATAGATCCCCTTTAAAACCAACAGGGGAAAGCAACAAATATTCATTTCAGCAAATAGAAGCCCGCGAACCTCCGATTCGAGATGGTCCCTTGGCGAGTCTGGAGCCCAAATGCCAAGCCCGGAATCTTGGCGGCTCCGAGCGATAAATGCCGACGGCACGTTCCCGACCCGACGTTCAGAGGGCCTTCGTGTTTTTATTTTGTGTTTTTGTCTGGTACGGATGCCTTTGCCTTTTCTCCTGGGCCAATTACTGCAATTCGCAACCGGACATGAGGAATCCTCCAAGCAAGGAACCTTCGTCATGTGTGAGCAGGGTGTGTAACGCAGCTATCCGCAGCAATCAATTGCCCAGTGGTTTTGTTCCGGGAGTGTCTTCCAGGCGTTGGCCGATGTTGGCGCTTCTCAGGCTTCGAGTTTTTAAAACCCAACCTAGCATTTGATCTCTTGCACGAGTCTGCCTTGCATAGGATACACTCTTCATGAGATGGAGGTCACCCCGCTCAAGTGCGTTGGTGGCTATTGCTTGCACGCCCTGCTCAAATGCGTGTCCAACTCTTTGCCGGGGTCGATGGATGACAATTCGGAGGGGTCAAGCAAGAAGACAATTTTTGCTGATTAGTGGGGTGAACTTCAGAGTGGGCGAACCCCTTGTTGAGACATGTTTCAGTCCGTGTGAACAACCACTTTGTCTGGCTTTCTTTTAAAGAAACCAGGCCCCCCTTCAAAAACATTTTGCCCACCCCTGGTGAGCATGACACATCTCCACCAGGCAAAGTTCATGGAGGGAAGTGCCGTCTCAAGTTCTGGGCCTTCCTCGTGCCCGGTCGCTCAGTAATTCTTATTGATCACCAACGCCTTCTCCTCGTGGAGACGTGGGTAGCTCAGGGGTGGATTCCCCAGTCTTCAGAAGCCAGCGGTTTTAAAGAAGGATCCCTGGAAAGAATGGGGCAACTACCCTTAGAAGCTCAGTCCCCAAGCATTACCCTGAGTCAACACCCCAAAATACGGGAACGCCAGATGCACTAACGTAACATCCTCCAAACCGGTTCAAGGGAAACCACCGCTGCAATTGCTCTTGAGGTAGGTGTGCAGGCCATGGATCAAGAATCATGTGACACCTGAACAAAATTACCAAGAGGACATGGGACATTCTGGCGGCCCTTGCTGGTTGTCGGAAAATTGGGTGGGGCCCCAATCCTCCCAAACTAACGATAGAGTACCAGCAGTTTTGAAGTGGCTCCTGCAAAGGTGATGCCTACCCTCTTACAAATGAAACCAGAACAAACAGTGAAGCTTGAGATAAGAATGATCCTTTGGCGGATTCCTTTTTGGGTTCCATGCCCCAATCTGCAGAGAGTAGAATATCTGTTAGACAGACTGAGCTGGGGAAAAGCTCCAGCACTTCTAGCAAGCCCCGAACCAATGGTGAAGGTCCCATAGGGTTTCCTGAGCTCCTGTTAGCCAATGATATTGATATTGCCCTAAAAGCCCAAGACCCTAACTGTGAGGGACCACAAGCGAGGTCTTGGACCCGGGTTAGTTCATACAGATTTCTGTTCTGTATTCTTTGCATGAACAAGACTATCTGAAATCAACGACAAGCTCAGTAGAGTAATGTTTCAAGGGGTGATATTCCCAGCCTTCCAAGAGTGCATGAGACATTGTGCTAGTGAGGTGCAAAGAAGCCATTTCACACTCAGTCGCATTTGGCCTGGTTTCTCCAATCGCATTAGAACAAATGGGCGGGAATGGACCCTGTCCACCTTTCGACAACCTGCAGCCTCACTTTTTTGCGTCAGATGCAAATTAACTGAGGCGGTCCCCTGCACAAAGCTCAAGTGCTATCCAGTTTGTGAGATCACGTTTATTTTCCAGAAGCTCGGGTTCGGCTCGGTCGCATGGTTCCTCCACTTTCTTCGATGGCCACAAGCAGACTTTGGCTGCATCAACTGGACATGTCCAGACTCGGACCAAAACATCCCAACCGACGTTTGAGCTAAAACCTGCCCAACAAGTTCACATACAGCCTAACTTGCAGTGAACCATATAGACGTGTCTGACGTTTCTTACACAACGCAACTCATGGAACCTAAAGCAAGTTGAGGGGAAATTGGGTCCACTGTGCAACCTGGTCCCAACCCTTTCAGTTCAGATGGAACTGGCTGTGGCGGGCACTCGGACGGGGACAAGCCCTTGATCAGGCCTACTAACATGCTCCAACCCAATAACTTCACCAACCTGTCTGTCACTGGATCAACCATAACAATTCAGAAGCCGAAATCAGGGGCAACCAAGTGGCCTTGTTTTTTCCACTCGAAAGCCAAAGTCTGCAGGCTGTCGCGGAGTTGCCGCTTGCCCGCGATAGGTTCAGTAGTTCACTCTCAAAGACATGGTCCACTTAACTCACCACCTGTTGACCTTTACTTGGGCCTTTTCACAATACCAGGAAAAATCGTTTTGTTAAGACACCAATCTATGGGCGTAAGCTGGGCTGTTTCACGAAAGAGTCCTTTCCACCACCGTCGAGTGAACCCTCACAATTGAGTGGGACACAGGTCACAAAAATGAAACATACACTTGAAGCCGACCTCCAAGTTTGTTTCTCCGCGAAAAAAAGTCTCTCGCTCGCCGGGTTCGGCGAAACGGCGCTGGGGCTCCTCAAAGGCCGAAGGGGTTTGCACCTGGAAGAGGCAGCAGATGCCTGTGAGGAACAGCACAAACCACAGGGCACCTGCGCGGTAGGATGGATGCGAACGGAAAAATGAAAAAGAACCCATGGGATCCGCTGCGGTCCTGGAAGCCGTTGGTTTCCTCCATACGTCTCAAGGAAATACCCGTTTAGGAAAGGAACGGGGAAGCTGTGTCACGGACATGGGGTGCAGAGAATAACCAAAGGTAACGAAACTAAGGCGCCCTCGGTTATGGGAAAAGCCAAGCGTTTTGCTCCAAGAACTCCCAGTGCAGATCCATCCCTTCACTTTGAAGATTTGGGGTAGGGCTCTCGACACAATGGCTAGGAAGCTCCAGTCGTGTCCCTTGAGATTGCTACCTTGGGGCTCCCATGAAAATGATAACATCATCCTACCAACAGGAAACTTAGAGAAAACTACCCTCCCGAAAACACTCCCTAGTGTTCCCATATTCCTAGTTAAATTCTTGAAGAACTTTGCTTTGGCAAAAGTGGATGTCGGGTCTGCGTGTTTTCCGCCGAGAATGTCCTGATGCTTCAATTCGGGCTGCCATCGGGGCGCCATGCGATCAAGAGGTTGCATGTGGGTCACGCCTGACCCGCCTTTGGCTCACTTGCAAAGGACCTGGACAAAACAACGGTAATCACCTTTAGGGTTGCCTTCACATTAATGGCCACCCATCATTGGCGAGTTCAGTTCTATTTGCTTTGCAAGCAAGTTGCACCAAGGTGCCGAAGAATCGTATTCCCAGCGCACAAGTTGTGCAGCCATTCTTCTTAGAAGAAAGCTGCACATGTCGCTTGGGCAAAACCCACATCTTCTTGGAAGAACACGCGATGTCGGTTGGACCGACTGCGATTCTTTCGACACTGTACATGTTGCGCTGTTTTGATGCTGGTGAAAGTAACACATGCATTTGCCAATCATGGCCGTTTTTCCCACAAGACCATACAACGTATCAGCTTCCCTGCCTTCCCTGTACAAAACGATACAAAAAGCAAATCGACGTAGCATCGAATAGTGTCCAAGAGATTGCACCGGTGCTTGCACCGGAACAGCAAAAAGCCAGCATCATGCTTCACACTGCCCCCACAGAAACACCGGACCCAAGGGAAGCTGATGTATAATTACAATCCACACAGCACAATCAGCAATTCATAGAAGCCACCAAATGATGCTTCCGCCGCGAAACCTCTGGTCCAATCGGCCGATGGGCCGGGAGCAAATCTTGCTCAAATCTCAAATGCTGTGGTTCCGAAACTCATTCCTGGTCAGAGTTTACCAGGGAGGCTTGATCATAGGAGGTCACCAACTACTACCCACATCAAAAGTTGAGAACCACCGAACAACTCAATTGTCCCTGAATTACCCCTCTCAACACCATAGCAAGACAAGCGTCCCTTCGGGAATTATAGCTCTATTTCCTGCCTGACACGGGCCATGGTCATAATTCATGATGCCCCCCAATGACATTGAATTTGGAGAGCAGCCTCAATTTTCTCTTGGCCATAGTGATTCGGCCCCACGTCCTCCACTTTATTTCAGTAGCTACCACCCTAACATATCTAGGTCCTCCAGTAGAGAGGTTAGAAAAAGGGTACCTTTGTTTCTGTAGTCTACTTTAGTAGGGGAACCCTCCCCCCAAAAAGGGTAGAAGGGCACTACTGGGGGACCTAGATATTATACCCGGTGCGAGCCACTCGCTGAGGGCGCATCACAGGAAGGCCAAGACCGTCCAGGTCACGGTGGTGCCGATCACGCCTCGCCGCAACGGGGTTACAAAACGCTCGGGTGCGAGAGATGGGAATGAGAAACAGGGCTGTGGGGAATCACGACTTCTGTGATACAACAGAAAGGGCTTCCCAAAGACTATTTTGTTAATCATATAAAGAGGGATTTCCTTGTATCACAGAACAGAAGTGGGGAGAAACCCCTTGATCCCACAACCCTGATGAGAAATGGAATGAGCCCAAAACCCTCCAACTGGTTTCCTTGTGGCTGGGTGCATTCTCCGCATTCCCTACTGAGCGCCAGCAAGTTCACCAACCAGGGCAAGAAGACGTGTGCCTGGCAAAGACTCCTGCCCGTTCATGATAGGAGGGGAATGACGACTCATTTGGTGACTTGAAGGGGTTGAGTTCGAGGGTGGATTCACATGCTTCACAAATTTGGTCCAAGGAACCAAGGTTCAAAGCCCAAACAAAAACACACATCTTCGCGAATTGACAATTTGCGAATCTGAAGTGTAAGGAAAAGCCAAGGGAATTTCATATTTACCCATGAATTGGTGAGATTAGCGCAAACCAGTAGTCTGGTACAAACAAGAACCATGAACCGTACAAACCTTACAAAGGACAACCAATAGATCTTCTCAACACCCTCAGCATCCAAACTGTCGGCTTGAACTGCAACTCTGCGTCCAACTTCGACAAAGGCGCCAGTGATGTAGGCATAGCCTCAGGCAGGACTTGAGCTATGCCAATACAACCTTTGCGTAGAGAGACAGATGTTCAAAGCAATATGTGTTTGTGTTCATAATTGGAATATGGCTAGTCGTGTAGGCTTGCCCAAAGGGCCGGACATCAAAGGTTACACTTTTGGGACAACTAAAAATGGGAACCCCCCCCTCCACAGAACAAAGAAAAAAAACATGAAAATGCAAAGTGTTTGAAAGGTCGGTTTTCCCTTTGGAAAGCGATGCAAGCGAGGGGCGGAACACCAGATCCACTTGCAGCGATGGAGGGTGCTCGGAGAAGGTGATGCTCATGGCCCTGCGATCCGATCGATCGCTCGAATTGAGCTAGGCACTGACTTCAGAAAATAAAAATCGAGGAACCTTGTCCTTTTGAAACCAACCAGAAGGTTTTTACAACCCAAAAGGGGGTTCCCCCGGGTTTTTATCTTTTATTTTTGCTATTGCACAGCCTTTTGAAACCAACCAGGGGGTCCAATAGTGTGGCTTTTTCCTGGTTATTTTCCCTTTAAAACCAACCAACCGGTGGTTACCCTCCAGGAAAAGACAAACCCAAGCAACTTGTTCAAATACAAGTTCAAGGCAGGTGTGTTTGTATTGAATCCAATCGCTTGCAGCCAGCTCACTTCCCAGGCATAAACTGGTCAATGTCCATCATGAGCTTCTGAAAGTCTGCGGACGGCAGTGTCTGCCTCGGAGCAAGGCACTGCCCAGGGCTCAGGGCTGATCTTCTGATTTGTGTTTGTTCATCAGCTACCTCCAGGCCCAGGGTGGATCTTCTGACTTTTCGTGCGATGAACATCAAGTGGCTTGGGAACCCTCCGCAACTCAGATAGGCCAACCCGTCGATGGGGTGGCAACAAAGATGTGCGCCACCAGTTTGGGGGCCCAAGTTTCGAGACAAATCCATCTACATATACCAAACAATGATACGAGCCAGATACCAGCAGAAGGATACCAGGCGAAACCAATCGACAAACATTTGTTTTCAGCTTTGATATCCGCAAACAATGGAGGTTGTGTTGATTACAATCCCAACAACACATTGGCTGTTCATTACAGCGCAATGTTACTTTCAAACAACACCAACGTGTTTTGGCACTTGACCTGCTTGAATCTAGCGTGAACAATACATTGTTTCCAAAACCTGACGGATCCTCATCAATTTTGCTCGTTTTACCTTGTCGGCGGAACCGCCCGTTATGGAGAACCAGCCAACCGAAGAGTTGTCCCTTTGGCCTCCCTTTGAATGTCCAACACAATAGCCTTTAAACCGGGGAATCAACCTCCAACCTTCCAAAGGGGGCAGCTCTAAAACCAATCTGTGGGCGTCCCTGTCAACCAACCTCCGTTGGGGGAAGCGAACACCCAGGTGTCTGCTCCAAGGTGCCCTTGGATGCCCAAGCGGTAGAAGAGCTCTTGCACCTGATCCTTCGACCAGTACCTTGGTTCCATTCCGAAAGCTTACCCAGACCCGTGTCCATGGGAAAGGGCTTGTCCTGTCCGTATCTAGGGACACTCAAGGAGAAAGGAACAATGGGACTGGAGGTGGTGTCAAGAAAACCGTCTTCTTGTGGTTGGAAGGAAGCAAATGCCTTATGACTTAACCATCTCAAAGAAAGACATCCTACGAATCGTTTGCCAAATGGTGACATTCCACCAAGTACGTCCTGGGTCTCTCCATTTGGCTGTGGCTCAAAAAAACGGTACCAAAACGGAACCCTGGCAAGTGGAAACGTGGACCAAAACCTGCGTAACCCCTCCCCAGTTCTGGCCCTTTTCCCATTGTTGAAAGAGCAAACAGCTGGAACCAGGAATCTTGCTCCCTTGGGGGATCGGCACAGTTCCACTCATGTTGTTGGAAAGATCACCGGGCGTCGATCCACAGGGTATTTAGAAGGATTGTCCCAAAAACCCAAAGTATAGAATGCCAGGTGGTTCCACTTAATATGGTTGGCGGAAAGACCAGCTGGAGTGGGTGGCAAAAACCCAAAGTAGAGGGTGAAAATGGCTTGTCTGGCCACAAATCAAAAATGGCTGTTTCCTTTAAATTTGGCTTCCCTTGAATTAAACGCAACCCAAAACGAGTACTCTCAAAACAAACACACACACACACACACACCAAAACCTCATTTTGGGAGGCCATCTGAGCCGCGCCGCTGCCCAAGCCTTCGGAAGCCCCGCTGCACCTCTTTCCAGCCCAGGTCACCCGACTTGTCCTGGCCAAGAAGCAGAATCTGAAGAGAGGCGTCCCCGAAAAAGGCAGTCCCCTTGCAGTTGAAGCTTTTCAGGAAAACACAACTTTAAAACGGCGGAGGGGAGGAGTCGTTCCGCTTGAGGAAGAACCTGTTAGATCCGAAACTTCAATCCTGAGGGTTCTGTGGGCCGGATGGAGGGTCATATTTTTAGTGGGAACTCGGTGGGCTGATCTTGACAGCGCGTGTTGCCCACAAACTGCCTTCGGCCTTTCAACTGGTGTTCTTCTATGTCTGCCGAAAGTATCACACAACCACAAACAGAAACTCACTTAAAACGAAACTTGAACCTAAACATTGGCGCAAACGGTGATGTTCACCCGCCCAACCCGCGGTTCGCCACGTGCGAAGTTTGAGCTGTCCAGGTCGAAATGCTTTTCCAGCTTGGCGAAGTTCCGAGCAGGATCCAGGCGGCTCAACTTGCCTCCGACAGAGTTGCACTCAGGGGACTTCGCTTCCCTGCTTCGTAAGCAAATCAAGGGAACCACCCCCTTTCAAGACCAAAAGGCAAATGGCTAGTTGCCTGTAGTAGCTGAGATCTGGGTGATATCAGATATCCCCAAGGACCCACCATGCCATGTCACTCTGAGGCACTCTGAGAGTCTTGGCCAAAATCGCCGTGAGAGGCGATTTTGGAAGTGATCCAACTCAGGTGCGCACTTGCTTCGCGCCCATGTGCGCCGATGTTCAAGAAGTCATCGCCTGACATTCCACGCCATTCCGGAAAAGTTGAATTCGGCCCGTTGGCCCTTTGCTGCTTGTGGATGCGTTGAGCTCTCCCATCTAACTCTCTCATCTAAGTGGTTCGGTGATCCCTTGCAAAAGCAAGCCTTCAACAGGACGTGTCGAACAAATGTCTCGCACCTCTCAAATCACATGGGTGGCTTTCGAAGAGAACGATGGTTGCAAATCACGGGGAATCAACCCATAGAAATATATGGATGGTTTCCAAACGGATTTGGAACTCCACTGAGCGTAATCAAGAGCAACCAGTTTTAGGTGCTCCAGTAAAGAGGTTTTCTGTAGTCTATTCTAGTAGGGGAACCCTCCCCCAAAAAAGAAACGGTAAAAGGGCACTAGGAAAACCTAGAATTTCAAAAGCCCCCTCCCATCCCCTCCCCGGCAGACCCCAAACCCCAAGGCCTGTCGCGTGTGCCGCAGGGTCTCGAGCTTGGGCATCTCTGCCTGCGACGGAGCTCCGAGCTTTTCGGGCAGCTGGTTTCTCGGCTCCAGTAGAGTCTTCGGGCGGCCCGGCTTTTTTTTGGGGTGTTTGGTGAAGGGGCTGTTTTGGCCTGAAAGCCAACCACCTCTCGAGGGTTTGCTGATGAGTACCAAGTGATAATTGTTGAACCCATCATGGAAACATGAAACAATTCGCCAAGCCAAGTGTGTAAGTTTGGTAGCCCTGGTCGGTTACAGCTCACTCACAAGCTGGGTTGGGTCCCACTTGCTAACCTGGGGTCACCACCAAGCACCCCCCCAAGCAAGAAATCAGGTCTATTGGGGTGTGTTGCGAACTCATTGCGGGAACTTGCGGCGAAACCAGAAGGGGGCGGGTATCTTGTTGAAACCATCAACTCTCGATCGCTTCGACATATAGGTGTGCCCCTTTGCGAGTCCGATGCGGAGAAGGGTCCAGAAAGGACCCCTTTCTAGGAGCAAAAGGAAAGCCCCCCCGCGGGTTGGCCTTACAGGGATTAGAGAGACATGCCGCGGCAATAGCCAAGCTTTGGTATCACATACTGTGGTTCCTTTGAGCATGTCCCATGGAAAGCAAGGAGAGCACCTGGGTAAACTCGACGTCGGATGCTCATCCACCCCATTTTCTGGACCTTGAACATTTTGGGACGATCGGTTGCGTGGAAAACGGTTCGCTTGAGAAGCGAGTCCAACTTTCAAGGTCCCTTAGGGAAGAGCCACGGCCCACAGTGGAAGGAGTTTTCGGATTTGGTGGTTTTCTGGAACGAATCAAATCCATGTGTTCCACATTCAGTCCACCCCGTCGCTCCTCCGTGAGCACCCGAGCCTCGGGTGCCAGGATTGCTCCAGGCGGCTCGGGGTTCCTGGCACAAAAAGATCCTGCGCACCCAAGCAAAAAGAGACCCTGCTTTTGTCAACCTTGATTCTGCCTTCTTTACGGACTGGGGGCCACAACAACAGGGGTCCCCCAAAGAGAAATCCGCTGAAATTGGCTCACAAGGTGACGTCGGAGCTTTTCAACATTGCCATACCTTTAAGCATCACAGGATGGTTCTCATTCAGCCCTGAAAGCAAAGCACATGGGATGCCTTTTCAGGCATCCAGGGAACAGACCGATTTGTTGTCCTTGTGGCTTGGTCATCGTTTAACTTTTTAGAGGTTCGGAGCAACCCTGCCAAGGAAAAGTGCACGGGAAACGTTCTTCGGCCCAGGCGAGTTTTGATCCTCAAGAGGGAACCATGAGATCTTGTCCAAATGTTTGGGTCTGCTGCCTTTGCTTTTGTGATTCGGGCACGAGCCCGTGCCCAGGCAATGGGTAAGTTGGGGTAAACAAGCCACAAAAGAAAGGTTCCCCAAAAGCAAACCAATCCCCGGTCCCAAAGATCAGGGTTTCCCACACACCAGAGAACAACAACCAAAAGGGAAAATAACCAAAGTAGAAAAGGATACCCGCAACCTAGATCGACGATGAACCGCACGGGCGATCCCCACCAACCTACCCCGGGCCGAAGTCTCTTTCTCCTCCGACACGAAGGCGGTCGACGTGAGGGCCCGGCGACGCTCATCCGAGGCGCGCCGGATCCAAAACTTGAGCCAAAACACCACAGGTCGGTCACTAACGCGACGTCCCTGATGATGATATAAACCATGGCTAATCACACCCCCCTCACGAGGAGCCCGTCATATGACGGGTGGAGCGTGCCATTTACTGATAGGATTTAACTGCTCGCATGCGTCCGCAAACAGCTGGACACTACCGCCGTCAGCGGTGGAGCAAACCCACAAAGGCAGTTGCGCGACATCCCGGGCATTAAATTCCCGCCACCACCCCGAATTAATCGGGGTAACGCTGTCCAACATACCTCGTGGAAAAGTCCACATGACGACACTAGGTCACAACTGTTTGCATCAACAATGCAAGAAGTTTAATTCTTATCAGAAGCCATGAAAAAGAAGATAACGTATGTCCATGTAGCACCCTCGCCTAACGGCAAGAGGTGCTCCTGACCATGCGTACCTGAAAAATGCTTGAATTCCGCAAACCCGGGAGTAACCCCCCATCAGTTTGCTTTCCCTCTCACTCACACTGCTTCCTGATGAACACGTCCAGCAGCCCAGCAGCGGTACGGGAGTGACATGACCTCCGCGCCTCAGCGGTCCGGGAGGAACAACACCACCTCCGCACCGCGCCGACCATTGGAGAATGGACGCAAGCCTACCGGCCGCAATCCTCGTGACTCAGCCTACCGGCTATCGTCACGTCTCCTCCGGTCACGTCCGCCCCGCGCACGGTCCCTGTCACGATCCCTTTCGGATCTCCTGCGATCATCTCGCCTTCGATCTCGCTCCCGATCGAGTGATTCATCATCCCGACGATCACGAGCATCGTCCCTCCTCCGGTCACGATCATCCTCGCGCCGTGGACGGTATCTGCGCCTTCTCGACTCTCTGGAAGCCTGGTGTCCACGGTCCTAACGGACCTCCGAGAGGGAGTACGGGAAACATCCGATTCCCTACGCCTCCTCCCAGAACGAGAGTTCGTCACGATCTGGTTGAGGGCCTCCAGTGCTGACGCATCCTCACCATTTCTGATGAAGTCCCTGACTTGCTTGTTCAGCACCCTGTTGGTGGAGACCGACAAGAGAGCATCCATCACCGAACTCTCAGGCAGCACCAGAAAGTGACCCTCCACCGGGCTCGCCGCAGTTCGCTCAGCAGACTGCAACCGGATCTCCCCGCCTTCAGGCTTCTTTGCCATCGCCTTGGAGGCCGTCAAAGGAGCTACTGCATCCTTTGCCGAAAATCTACCAAGCGCGGAGTGAAGATCATCCCCACTGGCCTCTCTCGCCGCCGCACCTGGTCTGCTGTCGACGTCATCAGGCCTTGTTGATGCCTCCCGCTTCGTCGACTCCTTCACAGTCTCGTCGGGATCCCAACGGGACCTCCTTTCTCTCTTCTGCCCTTCAGCCGACCCCCGGCTACCGCCGGAAGCGTCTACTCCGCTCATCTTCTCCTTCTTGACCTCAACCTTCGGTTCGGCCTGCTTCGTCTCCGCAGCCTTAGCCTTTGGAGCCGGAGCATCCTTCGCCTCAGCTACCGAAGCGGCCTTCCCTTTTGTCTCGGTCTTCGGAACCGGGGTCATTTTGGCCTTCGCACTCGGCCGGGCTCCCTGAACCGCCATTTCGACCCAGGTCTTCTTCGGTTGAGCTGCAGTTGCATCAACCTCCATCGGAGCTGGCCCAGCATCGTCCTTTGCTTTTGCCTTCGAGACAGATGGGCTACCGCCCTTGCCAGCTCCTGCACTTGTCACTCCACCTGACTTTGGTGGTGGGCCGGAAGGACTACCGCCCTTACCGCCCTTCTCCCCTTTCTTCCCTTTTCCGCCCTTGATGACCGGCTCCTGCTTGGGACTAGGACCTGGTGCAGCATGATGCACCGATTGAAGTCCCTCGATGTCCACGTTTAGCGGTTCAGGTTGACGACCATCAAGAACCGTCCTCACCCTCTCGTCACTAACGTAGACGAATGGGTCACGGAATGGTGCGGGAGGCTCCGACTGGCCGGCATTGATCGCCTTCTGCACCTTGGCTACCGCCTCCTTCAACCTCTTCTTCTCATCGTACCCCGTTTCCGACACCATGTACTGCCTGAGCTTCGAAATCAATGCATGGCTCTCCAGGATGTCCACGTCCTTCCGATGGGTCGGATACAATGGGGTCAGATGACCAGCCGCAGAGCCAATCACGTATGCCATCGGGATATAAAAGGACAAGTACGTGTCATGGCGAGCGAACTTCCTAACGGAAGTCGTCATACGCCTACCCCACTGAGCAGCATGTCTTGGGTTGGCCCGGAAGTACTCCGTGACCGACTCAAATCTATCGACTTGGTTGGTCTTAATCAGGTGCTTCGCCACCCACTTCTCCACAAACACATCCGAGGCCGATATCCCCGACACATAGGAAAATTGGAAGAGCACCTTCGCCAGCTCATCCCACGCCGCATCGACACCTCCCTTGTCTTCACCAAGATAAGGGGGAAGTCTGATGCCGCTCTGCACCGTCAACCTCAGATCGGATGCCATCGAATAGGAAATCAAGTTCCTCTTGATGACTCCGACCACATCGGAGGGAATCCTCCTGGGCTTGAACTGCCCCATGGTCCTCACCCACTCCGGCACGATGCGACACCTTTCGAAGTCCTTTTCCTCCGCGTTGGGGATAAAGTTCGGGTAAAAGACCGGGAGCGCACACCCGGGACACAAGTGCATCCCATTCGGCATCAACTCTGCGCACCTCAGGCAGAACGTGGCAGTCACATCCAGCCTGATCTCTTCCCGCGATCGCCTGTGCTCTCCCCTAACGGGGGTGAAGTCGCCATAGTCCCATGTCCGATGGTACACTATCGTGTAATCATCGTACATGCATGCCGCCTTCCAAGCTCCCATGTGAATCTCGTTCCTAACGGCAAGAGTCTTCCTCCTTGTCAGATACACGGGTCCAACCAAAGACCAGTGCACCCGAAGGTCCACCATTACCACCACGTGCCTACCGGAGTAGTTCCGCAGCCTGTCCCTGACGTACCACGAAGGCGATACCTCGGCATCCGGCGCCATTGCTCCCACAAGTGGGATCAGGCCCTCATCCTGTCTTCCATCACCAATGGTTTCGTACACGTCGGGCCTTGTGATCAATACCTCGATCATGGCCTTTCCGTTTCGCCTCAACCTTTGGAGTTGAACAGCCTTCCGGAAGTCCGAGAACTTCAGGATGACGTACCCCACCATGGGGAGTTCATTCCAATGCATCTCGTACATCAGAGACCCGCCAGGGGCATCTTCCTGAGTGTACCTATGCCTAACGGCACTGTAACTCAAGTCCCGCCCGATCCGTGTGTGCCTAACGGCAATTAATCTGGTGCTCTCCTTGAGAAGAACGCCATCCCCGTCGTACATGACCATGAGCATCGCTTCAACTTGCCCCATCGGGAAAGCTTTGAGCGTTGGAATGAAGAACCTCCAGGACATCTCAGCGTTCTCCATGCCCGAGATCTCCCTCAGGAACCAGATGGCCTGGTCACTCTTCACCCAGTTTCCAGCCTCACGTTCGATCTCCTTCAGCACACGTTCCTCGAATAACTCCGAGACTCTCTTTGAATTGATGACCAAACCGTCAAAGTCGCACGAGAGCAGTTTCATCAACTCCTTCGCCGCCTCCCGTCCCGCAACGGTGCCCACGGTCTCTTCGAAGTTCGGGAGGTATTTGCCTAACCTCGTCTTCGAGGGGACCACCATCTGACATGTGACAGCCTCATCACTCCCGTTTCCCTTAGCTCGGGATTGATCTCTCGCCTATCGGCAAGAAAATCCTCCTTCCCATCCATTATCACAAGATTGTATGTCATCTTGCTCGCCGCCGCACTAGGCCTGAACTTCCTGCTATCATCCAGCTGGTCAGGAGCAAGGGGGCCACTAGGGGCAGCTGCACTCACCATAGGCGCCCCTCGCCCAGAGCAAAGGTGCTTCTTGTGGAAGTTCACCATCTGATTCAGCTGTGACAGGGCGTAGGCGCGATCCTCCAAGGACGCACTCTTCATCCCAGCCTCAGTCAGGGGAGCCTCAGGCTTGTCATAACTCGCCTTACCGCCCCATCTCGCCGCGACTAGCTCAGCAGACTTCACAGGGTCGATCAGATTGCCCGACCACTCAGGCATGTTGCTCAACCTCCTAGTCAACGCGTCTATCGACGCAGCCAAGTCTTCATCCGTCACGGTGTGAGGGTCAACATTCTCCCTGTCTTCTTGGCCAACGTCCGGAAGCCTATAGTCTCCGCGGACGGCCTCCATCGCGGCCCTCTCGGCTTCC